AAGGCAAGGCTGCTTAGATTTATTCTGACAATTGAGGCAGCAGCATCAGAGGAGTCATCTGAATTATTCATTTTGCCACAGGAAAATGTCTCACTTGTCTTTTCTTCAGAAATCAAAGCCCAACCTGATTTAAAGTGTACTTTTAAGGGTTTTTTTAAAGTGAATTGTGCTATTTCAGGACTTTTGCTATAATTACCAGTGGAAGTGTATTCTTAAAGAAAATTCTTGCCATTCCTAAAAGAAGGAGAAAAATTGATTCTTCGCATGTACTTCTTGTTGTAAGGAGTTTAATGAAATTCAGCTTTCTTTCATAAATAATGCAGCACTTGCATTTGATTAGGTGAAGCCTAGAGGAAGTTCTGTCTAATCAGTTATATAGCAATAGGGTTAGTACCTGCAGACTATGAGTATGACCAGTAGCAATAGTATTGCAAATACGCATGTGTGTCTTTGTGTGTATGTATCTATGTGTGTTTATCTGTGTATGTATGTGCAGATGAAAAGCTGTTTCATAAAAGAAATTATAGAAGACCTCAAAGTGTCACAGCTATTTATATAACAAAAACATTGTTCTAGACATAGTTTATATGTAACAATAAAAGCATTATAGTTACATATAAAGTAACATATAACAGCCCAAGCTAAAATTTGAAACCCTAATGTCCTTAGCAGTGTACATTGGGAAGAGTCCTCCTTCCTGTCTTGAAGTGCCTACATTCAAAATAGGCAAAACAGACATGAGAGAGTAACTTTTTACAAGTCACCTTTTCAGACAAAATAACAGCTGCAAAATGTGCTCATTTCTGAGTTTGTTCTTTTAAAAATGGAAAAAAAAAGCAAAGCAATTCTGCGCATGCAAATGCTGTACTGCAAATATTGCAGAAATATTTTAGAGTCCTGTAATAATTTTAGCCTTAATTAGTAATTCATATGCAAACGTCACGGTGTTCTGGAAATCTAGACTCAGGGCTACATTCTTCCTGCTCTAGTTATCCTCAGGATGTTGGTTCTGACAACAAGGGAAGATCATGCACAGAAGGCAGAATCAGAGCCATTAGTCCCCTAGGGTCTGCCTTTGTTCCCTCCCATCTCTCAGTCCACTATGCATCACTGAACTCCGGTCAGTGGCACTACCTGCAGAAGATGGTAGTATTCAATCTAAGTCAGAAGATCAGGTGAAAATTGGGCCCGTATTTAAGAAGCTATTAAACACCATGTCATCTTGCTAAGCTTGTGTGGTTTATCTGAGATCTCCTCTGCTAATCATGGTTTGAATGTGTGCAACAGCTGTTGTTTTCCCTTGCGGGGTAAAATTGCTGATGTCTCTAACAATATGTCCTCATATTTATGGCAAGATCCTAGCTGGCGTAAGTTGGCAGGGCTCCACAGACTTCAATAGAACTGTGCTGATTTACCTTGGGCTGAAGATCTGGACTTTCGTGTATAATTTTTGTAAAGAGCAACAGGATCATAAGTAAATCTAAGCTCAAGAAGTATAGCAGAGAATAGATGGGAAAGATGTGTCTGCATACTTTAATTTGCTGCATTGGATGGCAGAGGCTGTAATGCAGAGTTCAGCATCTTAGGAATTTCACAGTTTAAGGTTGAAACCACTTCTGTTTTAAACTTGTGTTCTCATTTCTTTCAAAATTGGTCAAGAGATCTCCCTAAAGATGGGCTTAAAATGTTGTGTGAGCACTCCTTGGCCAGAGGAGAATTTACTTTTGAAAGTGGAGGGAAAAGCACTATTTGGCAGTACAATGTTTGTGTGTTTCTGACTTTTCCAAGAATAGGTAAAGTACTCTTATGCTCGTAACTCAAGCAGCTTGCTGTAAGGCTTTAAAACCACTTGTTGTATGTAGAGCTGACTGTCAATTAATTCAGGAACTTGTTTCAAAGCAAGAGAAAAAAAAAAGCGTTCAAACAGAGTACCCAGACCTTGCTGTAGTGAAGTCAATGGCAGGATTCCAGTAGAAATTACTGGAAACAAAACTGAGCTCTGCATTATTTGTTTTAGGCTAGGTTGAGCCTTCTTTCTGTGTCTTGAGTTTGGTATGATACATCTCTGCCTTGTTCCTGGAGAGCAGTTCCAAGAGAGCAGTTGTGACTCAGCCCCTTCTTGTCCCATTGTTCCTGGTGGGAGAAACTTCCTCTAGTATGCTACCCAACTCTGGCCAGCTCAGCTCTGCTGGCCAGCATATCTGAGGAAGGGAGAGAAGGCATCACCTCCACCCACCCTTTTCTGCCCCATCCTTCCTGTCACTTTGTAGGGCAGAAAGAGCAGCTCTGAGCACTTTGCTGTCCCTCCCACAGCCAGAGGAGTACTCCAGGTTCCCCCTGAATGGATTTGTTGGGCTTCCATGCCCAAGTACAGCCATAGTAGGGCTGGATGTAATCTGGTCCTTAGCGTGTAACTCACTATTTTCTGTCAGAAGGTCCATTAGGGAAACATTTAAATATCAACTAAATGACAGGTAAATATTTGTGCTATAGGTGAACTTTTTCCCAATGGAATATTAAGGTGTTCAAGACACAGCTTATATATCAACAATTTGTCAAGTAAACTTTTGCACTTGAATTGGTGCAGCAACAGAAGTGTTTATCCATAAATGACAAGATGCTTATCTGTATATGAGGGATGTTGACAAAATATTTTGCCATCAGTTATAGTGTGTGGCAGCCCCATGTATTCATCCCTTGTCAGTCTGACAAACCAAGTTTTTAGAATGTACCTGGTTCCATGCCTGAAAAATTCAGCAATGAATTACACGTCTATTAAACGTCTCTAAGGCAGGGGTTGTGTTGGAGGCATAATGATTTTGAGGCAACGACATAGAAAGTTTACTACGTTTTCTACCAGCAGCAACTCCATCTCTTTCTGGAGTCCTCTTACACCTCCCCAGGTCTTTTCACAAACAAGCTTCCTGCCAAAATTGTCCATGGACTAGTGATGGCATAAAACTAGCATGTACAGTCAGTGGTAAAATATTAATGGAAAACAGAATATTTTAGCCACTGTCCTCCCCACTAGATCAACCACCTTCCCTAGGACTGATGAATATTCCCTACCTAGAATAACTAGGGCAGGGCAAAGGGAATACCCACCCTGGATGCTGATGTGAGAGGGCACCAGGACCTCTCCACCAGGAGTCTTTGCCACAGAAGCTCTGCTGCCCCTGCCGGACCATAGGAGCTGGGCAGAGCAACACTGCACCAATCTGTGCACCAATCTGTAAGGTGGTGAGTGGAGTGAGCAGAATGGTGCCAGGGAAGAACTGCCAAGGCCAGGAAACTCTTGTAAAGTGTTTTAAACTCAACTTCAGTTCGGGGGCTAGCCTCAGAGCATGTCTGAATATATGTTAGCAAAGTATCCTGCACAAAGGGGTCTTGAACTTGGCTGGGCCCTCTAAGAGCTACTATAATATATTTACTACATAATAGCAATAAATGACAGCTTCCTTCTCCCCTTTTTCAGGGAACAAAGATGTCAAATTTCACTTTTCCTCACTTTTTCAGGGGGAAAATCCCTTACCAGCTAAAATGTTAATCCAAGAGCCAAGTTTTCATTAAGAGTTGAAATCCTTGGGGAACAAATTTCTGTTACATTCGGTTGAATTTGACCCATTACTTCAAAATAGAAGGGCAGGATTAGCATTTCATTTTCAGAAGGTAACATGTAAAATGAATGGTAAAAAAATTAACTAGAAGTTAGAGAAAATTCATGCCCGGGGGTGACCGGAAAGGTGTGTCCCTAAACTTTTGGTCATTTTGCTTTGTCCAAATAATAATTCATAGATTCATAGATGTTAGGGTCAGAAGGTACCTCAATAGATCATCAAGTCTGACCCCCTGCATAGGCA